TGTTTGAGCCCTTGCCTCGCAACGCTGCCAGTTCTGTTAGCTCTACGCCTGCCGAAGACACAGACGTCCATCCCCGTGAACACTGGGACGCAACTCAATGGGAAAGGAAAGGATTCTGATTTCAACCGTTGCGTATATTAGATGCAACATATGAATAAAGATGCTATGACCGAAAAAATGTGATTGTGTAAGGTTTATTCAATGATGATTATAAAGTTAATGTGTGTGCTTATAAAATATAGAAGAAATTAGATGCTTCACTTTGTTTACTGCAAACTGTCATGCAGCGGTGGTGGAAAATTACTCTGTCTTGTGATTCAGTTAGAGGAACCTTCTGTCTTATGACCTGATCAATTGCCTTGTCAGAAGAATACTCTGTTTGGTAACCCACCCCATGTGTTATGATCTGTTAATAAAAAGGCTCTGCAGGGCGGGGTCCGTGATAGACAGTTGGAGTGTTGGGTTGCGGCTCTCTCCTCCTGCAGGAGCTGTTGAAAATCTCTTTCCTGTGTGGACTCAGTTCCTCTTTTACGAACCTACATTTTTTAACCTAACATTTTGACAGATGACCGTTGATATATGATTGGCCGAATTTAGGTGTTCAGGCTGACGTATAACTAACTGGCCTGCAGAAGATAACGAAAAAACAACAGATTTTAAGACAGGATTTCTTTAAAAAAATTTTAATTTTCTAAATTTTAGGACAATATAGTGGAATAAAGAGTACATTTCTATACATGTTTAAGCCAGAATGATTTAACATTTAAATATTATTTCCCTATCACTTTAAATTCATGTATGGGTACAGAAATGCCTCAGAATTCAATCGACATCGCTCCTAGGATCTGATGTAATAGGACATCTTAGTACAGCAAAGCTAGATCCCTAATCCCAAACGTTTTGAATTCATTGTTGTTTCAACAGCCTCAAACTATATGCTCCTTTTATTTTAAAATTATCATCATCCAGAGCTTCAGCTTTTCAATTTAACTTTAAACAAGTTGCTAAAATGAAGTCAGATCATTTGACATAAACAAGGCAAACAACCGCTCTTTGCATACATTACAGACACGGCACAGGGTTGGCACTAATTTCTACACTGTGTTTGTCCTTCTCTGCGTGGCTGTGTGCGCTCCGCAGCCTCTACGGGTGGCGTGTTGATGAGCTCGGTTAATCAGCCAATCAGGCCTCTTAGGCAGAATCCAGCCGGGATTGGCTGATTAGCCGCGACTCTGGTGTGTCGGAGAGAGGAGCGTGTTTGAGCGGAGTCGTGCATACAGAGATCTTCATTTGGTAAAAACTTAATGCTCTGACTGCGGGGAAGGGCCCCCGCCTCCCCACTGATCTGCTTTAAACAAGAAATGAGCACAGACCCATCTCCATCATGAATTTGTTGTTGAGCCAAAATGGAGGAATGTTTTAACTCGCTTTTTTTTCCTTAAGTCTCCCTCATTAATTCAGTAGATGATGATGATTATATCCAGTACATTCGCATAGAGACGGAAATGGTGCCAACACTGGTCTGTTCAGCCAGTTTTACTGAGAATTACTTTCAAGCTACGACTTATGATGTAAATGAGCAAAAAAAAAAAGACAAACAAATCATCGTCCTCATAATAAATCCATCACTTTGTTTTTTTTTAACAACTTACAAAAATTAACCTGCGTTGCTTTTCTCTATTAGATGTAATAGTCCAGATAAACTAAAAAAGAAGTACCTTAAATGTAATTGTTAAGAAGGAACCATTTATTGTCACTTTGATGTCATGTCCTGCAAAAGCAGGATAAGCTGGATGTTATTTCTTTAAGGGGGTGATCTGAATAAATTACCAATTTTAAGAGTTTTTTGTGTGTAAATTGGAACTTTTATTTCTTTATAGGGTTGTCAAAAGTATCGATACTCAAAAAAGTATCGATACTGAAACGTTGTATCCGGATACAA